TATAGAGGAAATATCTCGTTCAGTATAGTACGAGAAAACAGCATATCTATATGTAAAAAGTTAAATATATTAGAACTGCATACCTCTAATGCCGCAATTCTAATGTTTAAAGGCATGTCAACATTTCGGCCGTAGTCTATCAATTGCTTATCTCCATTTGGCAAGAGTATGGTGTACAAGCTTCCCATATTAGCTATAGCCTGTCAATTAAAAAGCGTAGTTAATATGATAGGTTTTATATCAAGTACTTCCTACTAAAATATGTAATACTTGTTTTAGAAACCGTAGAATTAAACGTTACGAACCTTTAAGTATGTCATGCAAGTTCCATATTCCTTGCTTGTGGGTTTTGAAGCATCTGAACTGGTATCTTTGCAAAACATTTCGACATTAGATCGAAAATGTACGGCGACTTCCTTGAAATACTGAATTTCCTAAAATAAAAATTTAACTTTACGTATACACTTTTACTAAATATTAATAAATAAATAATGTAAATGATTAAAGGTACCGTTCAATTATTAGCATATGAAAGCATTTGCACCACCAAAAAAAGTTCCGCCACTGCACCCTCCATATAAAAATAAGAATTTTTCAGCTGACCAATTAATAGCTAATACGCACTTCTGATAAAAAATAAGCGACGAAGACAAAACACGCAATAAAATAAAAACTATTAAACGGATATGAGTGAAATTCATCCAAGAGGTTGGTGTGGCATTACTAGACCACACAGCAAGCAATAAAGCAAAAACATACAAAAATGCATATATTACAACCATCGCACCGCCAGGGACTAAATGAGTCGGAAGAATGTGCAATAGAAATGTCACGCTAATAACGGGTATGATACCATCTACCTGAAATGCATGTTTGACAACGGCGGGGCAAGCTTCCAATAGTTACGTCGCTCGCTTGCTGTGGCAGGAACGCCATTTTGAATTTTGAATAATAACAGTAAAAACATAATTGATTAAGATCAAAATAATATGATGAAAAGTAAATAAATTGATAACAGTGTTCGTGAGAGGGGCGAAGAGGTTCGATAGACAAAAACAAAATAAGCATCCGAGTGAAAGCCGTGCGAACTGATGACTAAAGTTACTGAAAAGTAAAATACATTAAACATAATAAATAGTATAATTAAGTGGGATTTTTTCGGTAAAAATGGAGAGGTTTAAAGCAATAACACTGGTAATAATATAAAGACATACCTAATAAAATACATAACTAGAGTAGTAGATTATATACATAAATGTCAATAATAGAGAGAGTAAATGCAGGAAACACGACCCAGTAATTTACAGTGTAAGAGGGAACAGTCATAAGGATAATTATATGTAATTATAATTTATAAAGGTATACATGATAAATAAATACGGAAAGTTTACGATATAAAGCAATAGAGAACTATAGCTGTAATTTACATCACTTGTAATTATTTTTCATTGATAACATTATTAACAGGGAAAATTTCTTCGAACAAATTGAAAAGTATAAATAGCTTATCAATAGTGTTTTCATTTGTATTAATTTCATGCAATTTAGCGGATATTTTGAAAATTACATTTAACAGGGAATAACCTTTAAACATATTATTTAGTTCTTGAAAAAGTTTAAAAATGTCCATAAAAGCATTCAGTTCAACTCAGTTAGATTTTTATTGACTGTCACTATGATTTTTAAGCTTATTCTTTGATTTTATCTCAGTCCTGCTTCGTCGTGATATCGGACGGCTGTGACGGAACCACCTGGGACTACGCAGAGGTCGGTGCGGCCGTTCGTTGTTATCTCAGCCTACACAAGTAAGCCCCCGCCTCTGTAATGGCAACATCCCCTAGAACCAGGGGGTGCTGGTAATGGTCGCTTTCGACGATATCTGGCGCCCGATGGCGTGTCCCTGGCTGTCGCCATAGCATTGTCCTTCGGAAATTGTTCTGGATGTTAAATCCAGACTCATCCGTATGCTATGTTCACGGGGCCAATTCAACTACGTTTTTCTGACACAGGTCGTCGGGCGTAACTGTAGGTACAGTCCACCTTCATGCAGGCGACGCTATACAGTTTGGTGTGATATGCGCCGTCTTGCAGCAACAGAGAGATGCGACGCCAGCTGTTGTGTTGTACGTGATCTACTGCATCATGCACATAACAACAGAAAGCAATCGTCTGCATTGTGATAATCCGCCGCCGTCCAAACCCACGTCTTCTTCAGGGTTTTGGATACAACAGCCTATTAATGTCATTACTATGCACATTCAGGATTCACGCAACAACGATTGTCCTGCATCATCTTGCAACATCTCGAGAGCACCTCCAACACGTTTCCTCTCTCAGGTGGTGTCTTTGGCTCATGCTTTCTGCTTTGGCTATCTCGAATTACACAGAACTACTATAGCTGCTTGGGAACTGATGCATAGGTTCGACGTGCATCATTTTTAAGGCTTTGTCGTGTGACTGCATGATTGCGTTTTTTGCTAATTTTGGTTGCCCATTAGCACTCAGGAATGTACTCTCTACCTCATATGTAAATTGTATGCGTATTTCTCTTTTGTACATTCGAACCTTTTCTTTTAGCACTTGTTATTTTTTGAAAGCCAGTATATTATAGTTGCGAACTGTACATCAAAATAGTTATAAACAGAGAGTATTGCTAAAACATATTCCGTAACCTTCTATTTCATTTTTTAAGTTCAATATATAAGCATGTTCCTGTTTATTAGAAAGGTTAATTTCTATTTTTAATACAAACAATAAAGAAAGAACTTTATGTCTTCTTAAAGTGTTGTTTCTTTTTAATAGTGTATTATAAAACCTAGATTTCTTAAGTCTGTCTCTTTGATCTTGTAGCCACTCAGGCTGGCTTTCTCGGGAATGGGACTATTCACCGTGGCCGTTTCGCCGTCAAGACATATTTTTCTTTACACGACTGTATTATATCTTGCCGTATTATGTTAGGTTGATTTAAAATATTAATTAGTTTAATAATTAATTTAATAAATTTTATACTAATGTGTTTTTGCACAGTTTTAACCAATATTCGTTACCAGACATATAATTTAAGAGAGTCATGTGTACAAGATTCCAACACATTCCGTTTTCCATTCAGATTTCATAAAAGTTTTAATTTCCTGCTTGTATGAGTGATTTCTCTGAACTAGCCGATTAAAATTTCAAGAAATGTTGGCGAATCATGTAAATATTGTACCTGGTATAATATTGTATGGTTTACCACTTCAAGAAACAGGCAATATCTTTTTTTCTTCAGAATTTCAACTCAATAAACATATCACTCACAGTTCTTAAAACACGCTAAATCTAAGGCGTTCTTAATTTTCCGGCCTAAAAATCTCGAAAAAGTGTATATTTTATGATGCCGAAATTCAGTCGTCATTAGTGACTTTCTCATTTTAAAAGCAATAAAAGTGAATGATACGATAGCTAAAGCTACAATATTCTAAATTACTGAGGGTTGAGGAAAATTATGTTGTGCTCGTTTAAAAGGGTGGTAGTGTTTTGATGATAATTTGAAGAAATATTCAAGCTGTTTGATTTGCAAGTGAAAATCTGCAAAAGATTCTGCTAAACTGCTCTGTAAGAACTGTTAAAATTTCGCAGCTTTTTAATAATTATTTGAATATTAATACTAAATTATTAATACGAAAGAACACCAAAATTATTTTTGCAGTAAAGAGTAAACTTCATCAGTTAATTTTTAAAGTGTTTTTCAGTTTTTTTATTTCAGTTCTGAATCTTTTCATAATGAGTGTCTTTTCAGTTTTTTATTTATTTGCTTGATGGCTACAGTTTTATTTCTTGAATCCATGAAATAATTACAATGACAGTTGATTCATGAAGAACGTAATATAATCGTGACAGCTTTAATATTTTTTAGTTAAAAAAAAAACAATTCTTTTATTGTTGACAGACAATTTAGATGAAGACACAGTTAAATTGACCCTAAACGCGCCTTTTCTTAATAGAAATTTTACATTTTTAATGGCTCAAGAAAGAAAGTGCAGCTGCAGAGAGTGAGCTTGAAAGGCAGCAAAGTGAAAGAAAGAATGTAGCGTGTCTAAGATGATAAGTTGATTCAAAATGATCCTCTTCACCTTTATCTCTAATGGTTATTTTTTATTCACAAAATTGAATTTTTATTAGCTGAAGCGTTATGTAAAAATCTTCATTATTGGCGCTATATAAAAATCATGTGAAAAACATTAATTAATTACGCAGTTCAGAGAGATTTTTCATAAGCAGTTACTAATTTTAAAAAGAAAAGTGGACGTATCCGAACTAAAACAGTAGAACCAAGGGATTACTGAAAATCAAAGTTAGAAATTTTATTTACACTTCTTTACGTTACACACATATAGCGATTAAAATTTAGTATTTGATGTTTTTAATAGCAGTTTATGAATAAATATCCAAATTTCTAATTTTAAAAAGTTTCTTACATTTTCTACCAATTTAGGATTTTTTTCATGCATGCGGCGAGCAATATTTCCTAATGAAATCCAGCATAGCGGTGAATCTGTTGCGCTGCAAATATCCTGCAACAAAACACAGTAAAATGAATTATTTGAAATTTATTTGAACTTTTCTGCTGTCTTTCATAGCACATATTACGAAAGTAAATTTATAGGGTTTAACTTTACATTAACTGTCATGATACTTACTGTAATGTATTTGACAATGGCTGGTTTTGCGTAATGCATATTACTCCAAGAATAGAAGATAAAATTCATGTAAGCAGGAGACAAATCGCCATTTTCTGCTAGTCGGGATATGGCTTTTATGCAGGGTAAACTATTGCATTGTACTAAAGAATCCCTTAAGTAAGACATAGCTAATTCCTATTAGAAAAAAGAGAAGAAGACTTGTTACACAAACAATTTTTTTTTCTGGTATTTGTGTTCATAATACATAATCTGTTAGAAAAATGGTTACACACTTACTTTAACAGATGGTATTGTTACCAAAGCTGAACTGAATTATAGTTATAGTATGTAGTACGATGTTTACTCAAAACCCCATGCTGATATTTTCATTATTGTAATATATGATGTGCGGCGTATGATAGTAAATCGAAATGGTCTTGGGGGAACCTTGAAAGGCGTCGTGTTTCTCAGGAAATCGGTTATGCTGGAGGTCTTTTGTCAAGAAATTACAGTGGCATTTGTAAAAATACCACGAATACATTGACCAAAGTTGTTCAAGCAACCGTTTGCTACTGTGCTATTAGTCGCTAATGGCCATAACTTTGATACTTTGAGCACTCTGGATAATTGTACAGGTACAGGTTCAAAAGGATAGATAGCATTGAACCTAACCTAACCTAATGTAAGTAGGATTATATTAGCCTATAGCTCAATTCATACTAACACACAATTATTCCCTTATATCGTAAAAGTGTGCGTACACTTTGTTTACGGACTGTGCATACACTAATATACTAGATCATAGTTTTTATCATGTATAGCTTCTAAAATGAAGCACGAAAATTCAAGTGAAACTCTGCAGATTATTACTAAGTTTTTGAATTGGGAAATGGAGAAAATGATCTAAGTTGTTGCCGTAATTCTAATAATGAGCCTTCCAGTTACTATTAAGTATGGTTAACACTACATTACGAAACATGTCACGATACCGAAGGGCCCGGGCTCGAATCCCGGAAGAAGGCATGCCTGTAATTGTCCTGTCCTTCATAGGAGATAACGGTTGCTCGCCTATTAGGCGCTTTCACAACAGAGTGGTCATCGCTTCCGGCCTTGGTAGTGGCCAAGCCTAAATCGGCTAAGTGTCCGCAAGTAGAGAGGAAAAAAATACAAAGCATGCACACGATAGGCACCAACGAAAATAAAATTTATTACGTTTTTTGCAGTTTCTTCCTCAAAGTCCCGTATCCTTTTGAAGTTCCATCTCCTCTGCTAAGATAAATACTCTAATATATTTGTGTTACGTCTAATATGTTTACATTCCTGCTTAAGCGAAATTAGCGTATTTACTGTGCTATGTGAAAGGACCATAGTTTACTTCAGCTCATGTTTCGCAATCGACATAAAACGCATGAAGTTGATAGTCAAGGGTGTAAGGTTTCATAGATTATTTGAATATGGCGAAGTATACGAAGGTAGTCTGTCTGAAAGTCAGTAGGAGCACTGAACACTATTACAGCAAAGCAGTTTGCATGAGTTTTTCTTTTTCTTCTTTCTTTCTTCCTGTTACTTGTTTGTTGTTTGTTTTCCTAGTGTGTGAAAGATTATAAGCCTCAACGAAGGAATCCTTCCTTATGGCCCTGTATGCATTGCCCTAACTTTACCTAAATGCTTAGAATTTCCGAATCATACACTTTGTGTCTCAAATCTAAGTTTAACATCGAGTTGATTCCTAGCAGCTATCTCCTGCTTAATGAGGATCATAGTGTAAACGTACTTCAAAACGATGAAGAAACTTAAATGGAATCTTATACGTCATAAATATGTGAATAATATTGCATTTTATTCAGCTTGTTTGAAATATTACATTACTTAAAGAAACTTACTGAAATACTCTAAAATGAATGTAATTAAAACCTAAACTCAGTGCAACTTACTTTTATGTTATTAGTACACTCTACACCTTCAGGCAAGAATGAGCATGATTTGACGATATTGACTAGAGGAATTAAATCGTCAGAAGATCTGATCCAAGCAATAAAATCTGTGAACTGAGGAATTGTAAAGAGTCTTATTTCATCTACAGAATCTAACACAAGATCGGAAAACATCTTCTTGGCTCTTTGCAAGAAATTGTCTGCTCTCGAAACTGGATCTCGTGTACGGTTGTATTCGTAACGAATATCAGTTTTCCGTGATGGTAACGGATATGCTGCTTTATTTTGCTGCTGGTGAGATTCCACGTAATCCAGTCTGTAGCTGGAAGAAAAAGTCTTATTAATATATTACAATAATCTATCATTTTAAGTGAAACATAATTAGCGGCTATTATATGTGGTATGATTGCAAAGTAACGGGTACTGTTTTTCTCCAGAAGTTTAATAGGTGGACATAATAAAAATATGTACAAACAAAAGAAACTGTATGTGTCATCTGTTTTTTAGCATAGTGGTCCGAAACGTTCGGATTACATCTACTTCTACCCATCGTAAACTCACTTTCAGAATACCTCAATCTTACCACACAGTTTCCCGGCGTGCAGTTACCAACAGATAGCGGATTGTATTTCTTTAGTTGAATTAAAGAATACACCGTCTGAAATTGTCGCTGCAATCCAAGCAATCATCATGACACATTTTCTCCATTTCGTTGTGAATTTCAATTGAAACCTTCTGTTTACACGCAGAAAGATACCAAAAAAAAAAAAAAAAAAAAAAATTGAAATGTTTCAGATTTTAAATTACGTCCAAAGGGCGTTTTTTTAACATTTGTTTTTACCTTTCTTTATTAAATATCATGTTCTCGCACTTAAACCATAAGATCCAGTGCAACAGCAATTATCGCAAAATAGTTTTAAAACGAGCATATCTTTAGAATTTCCGTACAGAGACTCACGCGCTGGAGATAAATGTTTTTTTCTGCACAACGTTCCATTGCTCGCTTGAAATCCTTGAGTTTGTTAATCAAAAATTCGTCAAAGTTTTAAAAAATAGGAAATCGATCATAAAAACAAATTTCAAATTTCAAATTTGGTCTTCCACATGCTCATATTCGTTGGAGGATTACGTTATTCAAAATTCGATGACTTTATGTACCGTTATTTTATGACAATGCGAGAAATATACATACATTTACGCAGATTTTCATTATTTAATTTCTTCAAATATAATGCAGGACTCTAACATTTTATGGCAACAGTTTGAAAAGTGAATCGACATTTATCCGTCCGACGCAAAATGCCAAAACGAAAGCAATAGTCCTTCGGGACTCAAGTCCCTTTGGACTAAAAAAAAAACGGAATTGTTTCTCTTCGGTTGACTAGTTCTCCTATATGACTCTAAAAATGCAAGAATTTCGTATCTGATCTTACATTTATTCTGCGGAGATGATCCAACAGAAGGCTAAAAAAAATTAATTTTTTAAATAATTATAACCAATTATTATGTAATTTATTAAATTATCAAAATAGGTAAAAGGAAAATTAAAATAAGAAATAATTTTCCAAAATTAGCCTCTAAAATTGCATTATTAGTAGAAGTTTACTGTTTCTAGATTTATTATTTATTTAATTGCTAACATTATTTTTAATTAAATTACTTCCTTCTGCGAAACAATATCAATATTTTTTGGTACCAATCTTTACCATTTGTACGGATGTACTAAAAACGGATAAAGCAAATCTGCTTAACAGAAATTTACGTGTCGTATCGCTTAAAAACAGCTTTGACTGTTTGGAGTTGGAAAGTTTTCTTTCTGCAGTAAAACAACTAACAATTTTAAAGAATATAAATAATTCTAAAAGCATACGAATATATGATTTTTTTTAATTTTAATAAACAATAAATAAAAGTTATATTCCACTAAGGGTTAATAATAACGCAGATTTAATAGAAATCGAAGACTGATAAACATCCTTTAAGAGAATATTTATATATACCTGCAATACCCATAATTCAAGGTTCGCGGAAAATGCAAGGCAGTTCTGTTTAGCAATGTAAAAAAATTGTCTGCTAGTCCCCTTCGAAGGATTTTCATCAGATTATAAATAGCTGTTTCAGCGCTCCTGCCGTTCTTGGAAGCATTAGAAAAAGGTTTCGTTTGGTATCTTTCACAAACTGACCATCAAGACATTCTGAATAGTTTGAGCCAGATTGTTATGACACTTTAATAATCTGTTTCTAACGAAAGAACCGAAGCTTTTTTTTTTTTTTTTTCAAAATGCTACATTCGTATGCTTAACGGCTGAAAGATGCTGTAATTCTTAGCACTGCGATACGTTGTCCGAATGGTATCACTTCATACATTTCTTTGAATGCTAATGGCCTCTGTGGGCCAAATTAGAGTATTGAAAGTGTCACTCACAGGTTATGGTTTTTACTTGAACTTTTCTGCGAATATATTACGGAATTTTGCATTTTTAAATAATGAAGCTAATTGCTATACTTACTATATATTCGTTTGCACAGCGACAGCTGTTCTGGAAGATGACTCCAACATAATAGCATGTCTTTCTTTGCAAAATACTTTATCGATTCTTTTCTCATTTTCATGAATTTCATAATCGCAATCAGTCGTGGAATTTATAAGGTACTGAATGAAGCTCTAGAGTAAAATGTTAACATTGCAGTATTATTATACACAATAAAGATATCCTGAAGTAAGTTCATTTATGTTTAAAAAACATTTATTTTAAATAGAAAGGTTTTTCAAATTTATACCCTTTCACGAATCTTTCTAATTTTTGATAAAAAGAACTGTTGACTAAACAGTCGATTAAAAGAGTTTGGTTGTAACATTTTTAACAAGGAAAGAACGAAATTATTTTGGAAAGGTTTATATTTGCCCTCCATTAATAATCTGCATTACAATCTACCACATACGTGATTTATCCCTTAAGAAATAAGAAAATTTTCGGGGAAATTTAAAATTTTTCTACATTTGAAGGTAATTTGAGGCACATCCTTTATCTACAACGGGTAAAATCCCTTCGCTTCAATTTTTTCCAAAAGTACTTTTCTGAGAAAAAAGTATAAATAATAATACAGACCTGAAACTCTTGCGTTGAATAAAGTAAGAAGGAATTAACAAAATTCTGAAATAAGTCTTCTAAACACTTTAAGAAAGACTAAGTCCTTTATTGAAATTATCAGTTTTAATGAATTAGTATTTCCCTAAACTAAGAAATTTTTGCGGCTATATCAGAAAAGAAAAAAATTCATAAATCTTCCATTTCTTATTATTATTGATATATTAACTATTCTTTAAATCCATTAAAGACACTAACTGACATGAAGCTGAAATACTATTAATTTATCAGCACTAATAAGAGTATTAGACTTTTTTGCGTCAAATTGCAGTTTGGAAATCTTAATGTAGTATTAAGTACTTGTTTTTCAATATTAATTTAATAGGTTATCAAGGTATTAAAAATAATTTCATTAAAGTTTAAAAAAAATGCTTTTACTTTGTCTGACAGTTACCATTTCCACACACCTACACACAGGAGAACACGCTTTAACGCGTCTTCTTAGCAGCAGATATTCAAATGAATGGGCTCTTACCATATTCCAGAACATTGAGAATGGGCTAAATTCGTAGTCTGTTCTACTCGGGAAGAAACACTGCAGCATATCTTTTGATGTCCTGACAGATCCTCTGCTACCATGAGATGGTACCGCAATAATAGGGCAAGTACCATGTACATCAGTATGCATCTATTGAACAATATAGCATGAAAAATACAATGTTTTAAACTAATGAGCTCCGTACAATAATAAAGGAAATACCCCATTGAAAGCAAATATTCATATTGTATTTCAAATAAATACATGCAAAATTTTAAAATGATATTTTAATGCGTATTTTTAATGTCTGGATAAATGCTTGAGGTCCTTAAGCATAAAATTCATGAGTTTGAGAGAGAAAGATCCTTTGGCAAGTGTCGCTGACGATCACGCTATTACTTCTTTTCAGTAACTGTAGTAATGAATTCGGCTTTAGCTTTGTCGGTCATTATTGCCCATAAAAGCTTAAGGCTCTGAATCAAACTTTTTAGTTGCGCTTTATATTGTTTATTTAATTTACTTCAGCTTTTGTTTCTGAATTCCCGTAAGTTACGAATACTCTTTTTCTGTTATTATATAGGTTGTATAACCATCAAGGTGACTACTAAATAAATCGTTTTTATACCTTCTTCCGTATTAGTGTAATTTTACGTAGTTTAGTTGTTAACACAAAATGATAAGTTGGTTTCTTCTCTTTACGGTTCCAGGTATTAACATTCAGAATAGTCTGGATTCGTAAAAACTGTAAGGTTTATTTAACTAACACGTCATTTTTTATGTTGAATTTTTTCTGTACTTATATTCTTTTTAGAAGGCCAGAATGTGTAAATGAACCATGTTTTTCCAGAACTAAGTTCATGAATGAAATGAGTCTTAACTAGGAGCGAGAAGATATACTGGATCATCTTCATGTGTATAAACTTCATCAATTTCTCCTTTACTTAACGAGAACAGTACAGAATATCTAAAATTGAAATGTTGGGAAACAGTTAAGTATAAATACACATGAGAAGACTGACTAGTTTTGTAGCGCAGGGCGCCGATGATGCTATCAGTTGAAATTTAATTTTGCACTGCTGGACCAATCTTTAAGCTTCTTTCTCTTCAGCCATCCAAGAGGCGAAAGCGACCTAGGCCATGGCCGACCATAAGAATTGTTTGCCGTGGCTAAACCTCCAGTATACATAGTGAAGCAAGAGAGTGTAGACAGGACCTGAGAGAATGTTCCAATAAATACAGCCACGTGGGTTCCTCCTTTTGACAGGTAGAAAGGACTATTAAATAGCTAATTAAGTTTACCCTATATAAGAAGACTAATTTCATGAACAGTCTCAAAATGCAATCCTGGATTCTGATGGCATTTTCATTTATGACCAAAACAATTTATATGTCTGTTATAGCAATTCGAACTATTAAATTACGCAGTGTCGTTTAGCAGATTGAGAGCATTACGAGCTAACAGCTTGTCCTGAAGCCTTACTGTTTCCGGCTAACCTATAAAGAACACAGGACTAGGCAGACTTATTCTACTATCTTTACTGATCAAAAACTAGATCTATTGTAGCATCTGTGGGTTACTCTTCCACATATGCTGCTCATTAACTTTATCAGCATAATATTTCGATGATTCCTAAGAGCTCTTTTAAAATTTAATACGTATTGTATTAAAATATGTAAGCTAGAGCATTCTGTCCGTATTCATCTCAGCCTCGTAAATGAATACACTGTGTAAAACATATATATATATTAATTTCTTTTGTCTGCGCTTCTTTTGTCTGATTGTTCTACACTGCACTTTCTTGCATGTGTATCATGATAATATTTAGCATAATTTTTATCTTTACGGAACCGCTCGCAACTAAAAAGATTTTTCTACCATTTTCGGAACTCTTTATAACTTATCTAAAAATTGAGGAATGTTTAAAAATTAAACTTTAAATATTTTTTCTTTTTATATTTTAATGTTTCTGATTGAAAACAGTTCTAAAAAACAAGTGTAACTAGATACAACTCTGTACTTAATTGTTATCAAATTCTGTACAAAACGATTTCGAGTTATTAAACTTATTAATGAAATTTTATGTATGATAAATTTACAAAATAAAAAGAGTAAATAAATATTTTCACTTACTCAAAGCACTATTTAATCACATTACGTTCATTAATAAAGAATACAATATTGCTACTTGATTATAATATTGCAAGGTAATAAAGTGCTATAAATGTTAACGTCAATGCTTACAGCACAAGGAAAGTTAGTTCAGAATTTTCCAATTATAATAAAAAAGGAGAAATAAACGAACCTCATGTTTTGCATGTTTGACATAAGATAATTTAAAAACAAATGCTGAAAGTGCTCCTCTTTTAATGTTGACAAGATATACTGGATCATCTTCATGTGTATAAACTTCATCAATTTCTCCTTTACTTAACGAGAACAGTACAGAATATCTAAAATTGAAATATTGGGAAACAGTTAAGTATAAATGATGATTAATGATAACAAAACATAAAATAAAGCGCAGAAATTCAAATATAACTCTGATAATGTAATAACTTATGCATTTTACATTTAACTTTCATTATCTTAAATAGTATTCTTATTTCTTCAAGCTGATTGTTCGAAATTTCAACCTCAGGTTGCAAATAAGTTGTAGTGAGATAATATTTTTTCATTCTGTTTTATGCATTATATTCCAGTTATTATACTATTGCCCATTAAAACTGCAATGGTAGGTAGGATGCTTCCGATCGATGATTATTTTCTTCATATATAGATCAAGGGAGAACATATAAAGGCAAATAATGAAACGCATATATATAACTCAAGTACTCTAGTAGCCCTACCTGGAACTGGTTAAAAAGATAAAGGTTTTATAATCATGATTACATTCATACAGTTAAATTATGTCTCATCGAAAAAAATGGCAAACTTACCAGTTTTCAATTTCGATTTTGGGAGATCTGTAACATACCAAGATTATTCGATCATCCTTCCGAAAAGGTGGTACTTATAACATGCTATCAGTTGGTCTAAAATGATTGAAATCATCATTGTGAACGATATCTCAACAAACCTATTCTATCATTGAGCTAAATGAAAATTTACGTATTTGGATATTACGGATCGTACAGCCCTCATCACAAATACTTGTTCATAATGTTATGCGCTTCACCGCAAGTTAGTCTCTCCACATACTATACGACAGTGACTTCAGCAGCGAAAAGAGTTGTTCACCGCAGGTTTTTGCAGCTAATGATATGTACAATGTTGCAGATGATAAACCTCAAAGGTAGCAGAAATAATTGGGCAATGCGTTTGCTATTATTGGAGAATACTTCTCCATAATGATCTGCGGCTGCAATAGTGTCTAAAATAATTGCCGGTAATGAAACGAATGGCATGACAGTATCTTTTAAAGCGATGGACTATTCCTGCTACTTTCAGCAGAAACGTCTGCTAGGGTAATGGTACCTAACCCATCACAGATTGTTGGAAAAATAGTGTGACTTCATTTTTTTGAAAGGAATATTTTTCTGTCTGTAGAACTGTGATGGTAGCATCTATGTCTGATGATATTACAATAATACTTTAATTGAACCACTATATAACCGTTTCTGGACCATTTGTGTAGTTATGGTATTGGATGACATTAGTTTGTAACCCTGTTCACGTCTATTACGAGTTGTTGAACGTATGACTACCATATATGCAACTGTGCGTCACCAAGAATGAGCACTGATCTAACCTTTAAATAAATATCTTCCAGTGTATCGTAATCCTGGGCATATGGAAAACCTCAGGGTGAAAATGGGCGACGTAATTATTGTAACTAATCAAGACCTACGAAATATAGAACCTACATAAATGCACAAGGTTTATAACATATATGCACAAGGTTCATTATATAAACATGCACAACCCGAGGGTCGACGTAGAGAACTCTGCGAAGCTATTGGCTGTGATCTAGGCAGCCTTGGACTCGGGGGTATACAAATTACGAACCCTAGTGGTTCAGAAGCTCAGAAAGGTCACTTATTGACCGGCCGGTGACTCTGGCAAGTTCTGGAGCAGACAGCTCTAGTAGCCCAGCGGGTTCGCTGGGTAATATCCCTCTGCGACGGGGAGTCCGAGTTACTGATAGGTAGCAAATTGACGACCAGTGGCGCCCTGGGGTCTTAGTCACTCCAGGTGCGTTAACTCCGATCTCTCCAGGGTTCTAGACATACAGGTAGGAAAGGGAGGAGGGGCCATTCCGCGCTAGAAGTGAAGCACTGCTTTGAAGCTTGGGTCACCAGACGGGGTGTTCTTTGTTTACATTCAGAAGCTCGCTTGACAAGATTCTGATAGTATTTCGACACACAACAGTTCCATAGAAATCGAAAAAGGGACACTCTCGCATGAAAGAAACATTCATAGTGTGATGGATAATAGCAATTTGTATAGTTTACTGACATTTACGCAAAAATCACATCCGGTTATTTTTCGATAACTAACAACAGCGATTTTGATTATGAATTTGTTTTATAAAATTCTAAGCTGTTGCACTACAAAATATAGATTTTAAGGAAAATTGCTAAAAGAGATCTGCCAAAATTTATTTTTCTAGAAGATTGAAAAGTTTGAAACTTGATGGCTAAATGTAATATAAATTATGTATGTTAAAATATTTGTAATTAGGCACATAGGTCAGATTAAGTTTTTATTAAATAGAGTAACGCATGCAAGGGCTATCTGCCTAAAGAGAGAGATGCCATCATGGAGGAATTTTGAAGAAAAACATACCTTTGAGTGGTATTAAAATAAATACTTATAATTTTCATTCAAATTATATTCATATATATTTTTATGTAAAACTTTCGGGTGTATGCTAATTAGTGTAAATACTTTACACGAAAAATATAGTGAATGCACAGAAATTAAAGATTTGCAACATGCCGGAAATGATAAATAGGAAATATGTATGGGATTATGCATGTGCTTGCAAAAAGCATGTATCTGCCTTTGACAAAATACTTAAATATTCATTAAATTATTTATAAAGTATTTGAAATGAAGAATTTATTCACTTATAAACAATCTGAAAGTACTGTGAAGAAATCTAATGATTAAATGTATCTAATTTATAATGATTATAAATGTTATCTAAATATATAATAACCTTAATATTGAATTGTAAACATAAATGAAATCCTGTTGACAGATACGTTATAAAACTATTTAAGCAAGAATTGTTCGTATTGGAAAGCAATCTGTTAAAAGGTATTGTAAGCAAATGCTATGAGATGCGCACTTAAGAACGTAATAAAGAGTTTTGGAATATGTATTGTTGAAATGAAGGGTAAAAAAAAATCTGAGAAGTATAAATAAAAGAATTATTCCCTTTACATTTATAATAACTCAGTTACAAGTTTTAAATAATACTAAAAAAAATAAAAAAAATAAATAAAAAAAAAAATAAAACTTATTTTATTCCCTTTCAGAAATGTTCAGAGAAAGTCAAATACTATTTAATACCTATTTAATATTAGGATTAGCGAAATACTTATTTAAAGTATTTCGCTAATTATTAATAATTCTCTATTAATAAAATGAACCGAATAGAGCATTAATTATAAATTGACTTACATTTTTCGATTTAAAAGAAGCCAAAAAATCATGTCATATTTAAGAAAGTATTTAGGAAGAAGCTCTATAAATAGAAAAAAATAATGCATAATTTTAATATTAATAATACAATAAACTTTGATCTTAATTTTGTACCTTAACCGAATAAAATCGAATTACCTAATTTTTTTTTCTAATGTAATTAACGAAAACTTGTGAAAATATTCATTCAAATAAACCATTGAGAGAAAACTGTCCTGTGAAAAGTATAGGATTTAATTCCGTTCAGAATGAAATGGTTTTAAAAATATGTTGTTTTCACATACTTAGGACTCTGAAGTGTTGTAGAAAAAAGAAAAAATATATACATTTATATGTATATTTGCGACGTAATTACCAAATATTTACACCCGAACGCGTCAAATCCCATAGAACTCAATGGTAAATGACCCAATGTTTTGGTCACCACGTAGGGATCGCCGGTGCTTCAGAGCAGGGTACGGAGAAAATTTTTGGGCGACTCCTCTACTTCCTACCATGGGAGGTTAGTCATTACCATGATTATTGGGTCATTTACCATTGAGTTCTATGGGATTTGACGCGTTCGGGTGTAATATTTTGTAATTACGTCGCAAATATACATATAAATGTATATATTTTCTTTTTCTACAACATCAGAGTCCTAAGTATGTGAAAACAACATATTTTTAAACAACATTTCATTCTGAACGGAATTAAATGCTATACTTTTCTCAGAATGGTTTAATTTGAATGAAATTTTCACAAGTTTTCGTTAATTACATTAAAAAAAATTAAGGTAGTTCGATTTTATTCGGTTAAGGTACAAAAATTAAGATCAAAGTTTAATGTAGTATTAATATTAAAATTATGCATTATTTCTTTTCTATTTATAGAGCTCTTCCTAAAATACTTTCTTAAATATGACATGATTTTTTGGCTTCTTTTTAAATCGAAAAATGTAAGTCAATTTATAATTAATGCTCTATTCGGTTCATTTAAATTAGAGAATTATTAGGAAAATAGTATTTGACTTTTCTCTGAACATTTCTGAAAGGGAATAAAATAAGTTTTCTTTTTCTTTTTTTTTTTTTTAAGTATTATTTAAAACTTGTAACTGAGTTATTATAAAATGTAAAGGGAATAATTCTTTTAATTATACTTATCAGATTTTTTTCTTTTTACCCTTCATTTCAACAATACATATTCCAAAACTCTTTATTACGTTCTTAAGTGCGCATCTCATAGCAATTGCTTTACAATACCTTTTAACAGATTGCTTTCCAATAGGAACAATTTTTGCTTAAATAGTTTTATAACTTATTTGTCAACAGGATTTCAATTTATGTTTACAATTCAATATTAAGGTTATTCTATATTTAGACAACATTTATAATCATTATAAATTAGATACATTTAAATCATTAGATTTCTTCACAGTACTATCACAGTTGTTTATAAGTGAATAATTCTTCATTTCAAATACATTTATAAATAATTTAATGAATATTTAAGTATTTTGTCAAAGGCAGATACATGCTTTTTGCAAGCACATGCATAAATACCCATACATATTCCTATTTATCATTTCCGGCATGTGCAAATCTTTAATTTCTGTGCATTCACTATATTTTTCGTGTAAAGTAATTTACACTAATTTAGCATACACCCGAAAGTTTTACATAAAAATATATATGAATATAATTTGAATGAAAATTATAAGTATTATTTTTAATACCCACTCAAAGGTCAGTTTTTTCTTCAAAATTCCCCCACGATGGCATCTCTCTCTTTAGGCAGATAGCCCTTGCATGCGTTACTCTATTTAATAAAAACTTAATCTGACCTATGTGCCTAATTACAAATATTTTAACATACATAATTTTATATTTACATTTAGCCATCAAGTTTCAAACTTTTCAAATCTTCTAGAAAATAAATTTTGGCAGATCTCTTTTAGCAATTTCTTAAAATCTATATTTTTGTAGTGCAACAGCTTAGAATTTTATAAAACAAATTCATAATCAAAATCGCTGTTGTTAGTTATCGAAAAATAACCAAGATGTGATTTTTTTGCGTAAATGTCAGTAAACTATACAAATTGCTATTATCCATCACACTATGAATGTTTCTTTCATGCGAGAGTGTCCCTTTTTCGATTTCTATGGAACTGTTGTGTGTCGAAATACTATCAGAATTTTGTCAAGCGAGCTTCTGAATGTAAACAAAACACACCCCGTCTGGTGACCCAAACTTCAAAGCAGTGCTTCACTTCTAGCGCGGAATGGCCCCTCCTCCCTTTCCTACCTCCATGTTCTAGACCAGGGGTTGAACCCTTCGGCCTAGTTGGACGGGGGTAATGACCCTTAGTGTTATTAAGATGTTGACGGAAAGGGGAACGCCTAAATAGTATCTTATATAAACATACAAGGTTCTGGTGAATGCATGCATTGTAGTATAAACTAATGCATTCATTGCTTGTTTTCATACATTATTTGCTTGCTATTTGCATGAGCTTTAATGATTTGGATGTGCGTCCATATGTACCCAATAATCCTGATTAATATTATGTACATGATGGGGATGAATTCAAGGAAAAGTGCGAAACATCATGCAGTCCACATTTAAAGTTCTGTTACAGAGATGTATATAGTTAAAGTAACTAAAACATTGTATAGACTCGAAGTTCTTTATGATTGTTCAACTGCTTTATAAAAGTATTTTCAGCAAATGCGGGTAACAGATACCAAAGTCAGTTATTTTTCCTTATCTTTGAGACTTGCCTAGTGCCATTTAATAGAGTAATGAGTGATTGAGTGTGACATGCATCGTTCATCAATTACTGGATAACTACTTGTTTCATTTCTTCTTGGCCAATGCATTTTGAGAAAAAGAATGTAGAAATTGTTTGCTTAATATTTTTTTACCAATCCTGTTTTAAAAGATGGGAAGAATTCATTTTATAATCTATGATGTAAACAATACAGTTTTATATGTTGAAAATTAAAAAATATACAGTGTCTCACAAAAGTGATGGGACACTTGTGCTTTACGAAAGGAAACTGTAGTAAAATAAATTAAAAAAAAACATGTAAAAATTTTTTGTGGGTGTGTTTCATACTTAAATTTAGTAACAATTATTACATAATACATTTTCTCAAAAATATTAAAATAGTAATTTAAATAAAAATACGAGTTGTTTGAAACGGAGCAGAAAATGGCTCACATAAGTGACGGGACACTTACTTTCCATCAAATATTTATCCAAAAATTTTACTTTCTAAAATGTTTTATATTTTGTTGGATTTCCTTTTACTTTTTAAAAGGTGATTTAATCTTCCTGGGATGGATTCGACTAATTTTTTTGTGATTTCTGGAGTGATTTTACCCCATTCTTCTTGAAGCAATGATTTAATTGTTGTTTTGAAGAAATGGTGTGTTTGCGAATTCTTGATTCAAATTCTTGCCAAATATTCTCTATGGGATTTAAGTCTGGAGATTGTGGTGGTGTTTTTATTATTTTCAGGACAGTTATACAGCAGCCAGAGTCTAACGTTCAAAGCAGTGTGCTGGGGTCATTGTCCTGGTAGAATTTAAAATCGTTATGAAAGGTTCAATTTTCGTGCTGAAGATTTCAAATTTTGATTTAAAATGTCAATATAATTGTACGATCCATTATACTGTCATAAAAAACAAGATTACCAACTCAAGCGGACGACATACACCCCCATACCATAACTCCTCCTCCACCATGTTTTACTGTTGGCACCAAGTTCTGTTTGCGAAATTCTTTCCTGGGTTTTCTCTACACCAAGATTCTACCGTCAGAACCAAAAATATTAAATTAAATTTACTCTCATCAGCAAATATAACTTCATTCCAGTAATCAGAGTTCTTATTTATGTTGGATTTTGCGAAAGCCAGTCTGAGTTTTCTATTCTTTTCAAGCTGGAGATGAAAATTTGCTTTATTTCGAATGCTGTTGCCACTGCTCGCTTTCAAATCCTAGAGTTTGTTATTAAAAAATTTCTTCTAAGTTTTACGATGAAACAAAAATTGCATTGCAAATATTAAATGCATTATTCCCAAATCCAAAAATTCGTGGGAAGCCATTTCGACTTTAATTAACGGAGATATTACTTAAAAATTCCGAAATTTTCGCACTCATTTTTCCGAGTGGCAACAGTCTCGCGCGTTGGAGATAATATGTTTTATTCCGAAAAGTGTGGCCACTGCCCGTTTTCAAATCGTAGAGTCTGTTAATCAAAAATTTGTAAGTTTTACGAAATTTATATATAAATGTGGAATTTTAAATCCATAGCTTAATATTTTTCTTTGCGCGCTGTCTAAATTTAAGCTGATGACAGCAAGAGTGAAATTGATAGAACTTTCGCCACTTTGTTTTATGAGAGGAGATGCAAGATGATATAGATGTGGTATTAACAGATGTAAGACGTTATAGTTGTTATGTTAATAGATATAAGATGTTATATATATCGTGGTAATATATAAACGATGTTATAGATGTTGTATTAATAGATGAACTATATTATAGATGTAATAATGTTTTATTAAATGTGTTTTGTTTGAATATGAATTTTGATTTTAAAACTAAAGAACCCACACACACACACACACATATATATATAAAGAAGAATGTGTGTGTGTTTGTTCGCGTTATTGATTTCTAATCAGTTATGATCCATTTTCATTCCAGTAATCAGAATTCTTATTTATGTTGGATTTTGCGAAAGCCAGTCTCAGTTTTCTATTCTTTTCACTCACGAGGAATTTTTTCCTGACTGCTCTACCGTGATATTCAGCAGATCGAATTACTCTTCTAATAGTCTCAGGATTAACAATTATTCCATATAATGCTTGTAAATCAGCAGCAACTTTAGATGCACTCATTCTTCGATTTTTTTTTTTTTTTTTTTTTAATATTTTGAACAATAATTCGCTTTATTCCATTGGATAGCTTTGATGGTCGGCCAGATCTTCTTTTATCCTGAATCATATGATTCTTTTTATATCGTTTAATGATGTTGAAAACTGTTGAACGACTCATGTTAACTGTTTCAGCAGTTTCTCTAATAGATGTTTTACGTTCAATATGCAAATTAATAACTAATTTTCGAATTTCAGGCAAAGTTTCTTTTCGTTTAGCATTCATGGATGCACAGAGCTAAAAATGTATATAAAAATTCCAAAACAAACTGGAGAGAGAAAGACTTGCAGACGATTTATAAATTATTGATAATTGCTTTTGAGTAAAAATAAAAACCCAAAAAAATATTTTTATGTAGTACGTAGTAGTATCTAATGGTGTCCCATCACTTATGAGCCATTTTTGCTCCGTTCTAAACAATTCTATTTTATTAAATTATTATTTTAATATTTTGAGAAATGTATGTTATGTAATATTGTTACTAAATTTAAGTATGACACACACCCACAAAAAATTTTTTACACTTTTTTTTAATTTATTTTATTATAGTTTCCTTTTGTAAAGCACAAGTATCCCATCACTTTTGTGAGACACTGTATATAATTAAAAAAACTAAATTTTTTTAAATTCCAAAAATCAGTAAATTATGTTTGAGCTTATAACAGCCTTCATGTAAAAGGTTTTTTCTGTTGTATCTAAGAATGCAAACAATAAAATTTGAAATCTTTAGTTCGTTCGTTAAACGAAGATTTGTGTGAAAAATCTACAAAACTTCTTTTTAACATTAAGTAAATACAAAATTCTAAATCGAATTTTGAAAAAACAACTTCAAATTCACAAAGGCACCTTTCAAGTAATTTGTGTATCAAATTTCATAGCTCTGAGTCCCTCCGTCTCTGCATTATATTATACATACACGCAAGCAAAAAATTGCTGCTTTTTTTATTACAGATTACATTTATGTAAATTTTGGATATGAAAAGATGGCTTTAAAGTATTCCATTGCTTTCCCCCTTTCATTCTGGTTAACAGGAAAAAACTGAAATGGGGAAATTGATTCAAGAGGAATCGATATATCAAGCTTTCTTCAAAAGTTCTGACTTATATTAAGAATGGCCTTTAGTATGATTTATTTGTCAAAAGAGAAAGTTATTACATACTGTGTATCTAACAGTCTATTATTTCTGATTAATTATGGTGATTTTCTGAATATGCCTTACTTGGACAAATCATTAAGAGGTTGATTATCTTTAAAAGCTTTTTCATGGCCTGGAGCACCTCCTAATGCATTCAGCTTACAATCCTCGAGTTTCAGATTATAAAAGCAATCATGCGAATGCGATATAATGACTTCGCAAAGTATTTCAATTTTATTCCTCTCATCTGTTGTTCCCACAGCTTCGGCAAACGCCTGAGATTGAAATTTATACGTGTACTCGTAGCCTGGTTGAAGTATGTTTTCTGAAAAATTAAATGCGAAAATCAAAAGTTAGAAAACTTATGCTACATCAAAACAATAGTACAATAGTATCAAACAATAGTACATGTATAAATCTTTTTTAATTGAATTAATTAATAAAAATAGTAAAAATAATAATAATAAATTCGATAAAAGATTTAATAAAAATTTTAATAAAAAAAACAGCTCATTTAATAAAAAATTTAATTAGTCCAAGAGTTTCTGAAGGACTATTGTTTTCGTTTTGCGATTTTGCTTTGAATCACTATGAATGCCCGTTTCACTTTTCAAACTGTTGCCACCTAATGTTAGAGCCCTGTATTATATTTGAAGAAATTAATAATGAAAATATGCATAAATGTAATGTACTGTTTCGAATTGTGATAAAAAGAACGATACCTAGAGCCATCCAATTTTGAATGACGTAATCCTCCTGCGAATACGGCATCTGAAAGACCAAATTTGAAATTTGGAATTTGTTTTATTATCGATTTCATATTTGTAAAACTTTAACGAATTTTTTATTAACAAACTCTACGATTTCAAAGCGAGCAATGGCAACACTGTACGGGGGGGAAAAACATTTTTATCTCCAGCGCACGTGAGACTGTTTATCGGAAATTCTAAAGATATGTTCAATTTTAAAATTATTTTGCGATATTTATTGAACTGAATTTTATGGTTTAAGTGCAAAGAACATGATATTTAATAAATAAAGGTAATACACAAAACGTTATAAAAAGTCCCTTTGGACATAATTTAAAATCTGAAACCTTTCAGATTTTTTTATATATTATATTTTATTTTAATTATATCTATTCAATCTATTATTTCTCATTTTCAAATCAAACCTCTTCGGAATAAATTACTTAAATCGCATTAATAATTGAACTAGTGTACAGATAATTTTCGCTTTCGAATACCAGTATTGCATAAACATGAATGACAGTTTACTCTTTTTAGTACTTGTACCTCAGGCTTTCCCAGTATACAACACCTTTAAGTAAATGTTTAAATCTGCTTAGTATTTCCCCGCCGCAGTGAGAGAAGGTTTGAAATGAATATTTGGTAAAGAAAAGGAAAGGAGAAAAATTTAGTTATCCCTCTTTATTAGAGTTTGATTGGTTTAGTTTTAATCCTATATTATTGCTAAGGGTTTAATAGCCTGCCATCTTAATTATTTTTAGTCTTACCTTTTTTTTCTGTCAACCTCAAAACTGAAAAAATTTGGAATTATTTATTTTTACAGACTTTTATGCAAATACTTATTACTGCTCTTACAATTAGTGTTTTATTTAGGGTCCATTGTTACTGAAATTGGATTAGAAATATTTCTACATTTTTAACACTCCAAAATTTATATATTACTATACGCATTTTTTACCATTGTTAAACTCATAGAATAAACAACCTGTAGATGTTTATGATCCGTTAACATTGAATATGAAGATATATATATTAAATCTGAAGCAAAATAAGATGTGAGATTGGATGATATAAACTTTATGTTCACACTTTATGTAAACGATTTTTACAATTACTTTTTATGCATAAATGCCTTTTTATGCATTTCTTGCAGCTATTTGCTTCTGTTTGATAGCCTTAATTCTTGACTGTAACTCGAATTTTCCGTGAAAGAAAACTTTTTCGCCCCGTCATGTCAAATTTATTCCAGGCTTCTCGGGTCATTTCCCAAAGTCTGTTCAGTGTTTTTGGAAACGTTTTTCTAAAGGACGTTTCCAAAAACACTGAACGTTCTTCCAAAAACACTCAACGTTTTTCCAAAAACACTGAACGTTCTTCTATGGACGTTTGCCCTTTCGGTTTTAACACACCGAAAGGGCAAACATCCATAGAAGATGCACCAGGTTACAGGTATTTCATTCATTGAAATACATTTTATTCCTGCTTCTGATTCTTTCTTTGCTAAACAAGCGGTAGTTGACTTACATGTGTCTAGAGCCTTTGTTCATATGAAGCTCAATTTTATTGACGTCCTTTCCATATAAGGCTAGAACTTCTTCAAAAATTAGTTCTGAAACCTGTTGATAGTAGAATGAATTACCATAATTCTTACTTGAGACTTTATTTATTTTAGTTTTTATCATTCTAATAAAATCCTGCAACTTTACATGAATCTTGTTGGGAACTTTTCTGTACTTTATCAATGCCATTCGTACGGTCATCTTCATCTATTGAGTAATAGAAAATTGATCTTTTCTTATTCCAGTCACACTTAAATGTAACGCATACAGCCTCGAGTCACAAATTTCCATTTAAGAGTGTAGAGACATTAGGTATTTTGGAAGCAGGAAAAATGCCACATATGCAACGCCTTCGCCAGGAATCGAACCACGGACCTCTGGAATACGCACCCAGTGTGCAGACCACGACACCACGAAGGCATGCCAAGAAAGTGGGAGAAATATCTTATAACAGCAGCTGGGCATTTTCCATATAATTTTCTACGTTTTGTTTTTCTTTTCGCAAAATGCTTTGGAAGAAATAAAAGAATTTTTGTTTAAACATCTTTTTTAACTTTATGAATCATTTTACTTACAGTACCGAAAGACATTCCCAGCTCGGATGCAATGGCTCTTTTAGCTTATATTTAGAAACTTCACTATCTTGATATTTACCCACGTTCAAACAGACTTAGAATGCGGTTTTGTGGGCATTTTTGCATTTTTACTTTCAGCTAAATGCTTTTCCAAAATATCTTTCTTTGGAATCCAATAACCCCGATTTTTACACTGTTACAAATATTGATATAAATATTTTTCCTTGAAAAGTATATTTACGTAACTCTTGAGCCATCTATGAATTTTAGGAGTCAAAAGTCAAGTCATTTCCAAAATAAATATCAGCCAAAGCAAAGCAGTGGCAAGCGGTTATACTGAAAGTACCAAATTTTCATCTCAAAATGTTAACGAGAAAATTTATATGGAAAATCATTTTCATAAAGTGGGAAGGCCCCTCTGTATATTACATTTATAAGTATATTATTCTTTAATAGCTTAAAAATGAACTTAGAGAACTACTGAAGCATCTCCAGATTAATTTATATTCACTTCCAAAAGTGTTAAAGGAAAATATTAGAAGCAACCAAATAATACTTATACCGGATATAGCCCTTCATTTTACAGACAGATAATTTTAATTTTTAAAATTAATGTTACTGAAACATTTAAAGAAATGAGAGTAAACGTTATGCCTACCATTATCAGATGCTGAGCATTTTTCACCTTTGATGAATCCTGAAAAAGAGTTAAAAGCAAATTTAAAGATTAGTAATCTTATTTTACAACAAAAAATATGTGTAATTTGTCAGTATAAAAATGATTTTGAAATGCACTCTTTTTCTCTGTCTACAAGAACGAAGAAACAGCAGAAAAATATTTTAAGAAGTTCTGATATTTTTCCAAAATTTCCAAACAAATGAATGACTTATAGGGAGGCAAAAATATTTCAGTTTACAGTTGTTGTTTAAATAATTATTTAATATTCTGTTTAAAATCGTAACACAGGCAGAGCGTAAAATAACAAAACTTAAAATCCTTTCATTATTGCTTAAAGCAGAGATATTCAATTTTTTGGAGTAAGCTGCTGTGATACACTGAATCGGAAAAAGGAGCCAATAGCCGTACCTTCAGAGAAAACTGCCCCGAAACGCTTATAGAATTAAAAATTGCAATAAAACCTATATTACTATTGCATCTAATTAAATTGCCTTCACTTTATACTCCAAAAAATATATATTAGATGAAAAGGTACTTTTCTGTTAACTGAACGCCAATCGTCAAATAAACGCTAAAGTGCCAACTATATTAGCATGTTTATGTAACATCAAGAATAGCTATGCAATGTTTAATGTAAGAAATTTTATGTGGGGTATTTTAATCGCCAAAGAGGGCATAAATCTTTCATGATGTTATACTTCTTGTTCTTGGATCTGGCAGTGCCAGTTGAATGTATGTTGGACGTGAATAAACTTGGCAGTTTTGAAACCTGTTTCGTAATGTTCTTTTACCTTGGTGTTATGTGTGATTTTCTATGTGAAATATTTTCTTTGGGGAAAAAAAAGAAAGGAACACCAGTAAGTAAGTAAGTAAGAAGAGTAGCGTAAAAGAAAGTAAGCGATAAGAACAATCCATGCAATTTGATGGGGGCCAGCAGGCAGCTTTGGAGTGTATATTCTTTCTGTAAAAACATTTTGGCGTGTTTAGTCTTATAGCAGAAAAGATCCAATAAGAATATATAGAATATATATATATGAGTACAACATATTGTATTTACTCGGGTTTTTCACCCCCCCCCCTTTTTAAATTTTATCAGATAAAAATCGAGAAGGGAAAATTATGCGAATAATTTAATTTGCAAGGGCACGGTTGTAATATGAACAAAGCAAATAAAAAGTATTCCTGAATAAACTACCGTCAATTATTACAATAATTATACTATCTAATAACATATCTTCATTTCTACTTCTCTGTTTTTGAATCTCGCTTTCTGTTATTATTGTACACCTCTAATCACTGGAAGTTCTGTCTGTGTCTAGCTTGTAAGTCATCTCCATCGTCTTCATCACCATTCAGTCTGTCTTCCCAAGTGCAATGATCTTCAGCACCATCAAAAACAATAGATACACCCGTTTTCTTGAGGCTCTCCACTATTATTAGTTTATGAGCTCATGTACTCGAATTCCACGAGCAATTACATCAAACAGAAGAGACAAAAACAATCACTAAAGGGGACGAATCCATTTTGAAATATATGGCAGCTGTCTTTTATTTAACACAAATACGGCAATTAATGTTAGTTTTGATCCAGTTTTATGAATATTAATGCATCTTTGTCGGGTTTCACAGACGTTGTAACAACTGAGAAGAATAATTTAAGAATTTCATTTGGAGTGCTTCTTCTTATTTTATTTTGTATGTTTTACAAGGAAAATAAATATTTCGAAAATACGCATCCTTTCAAAAAGAGACATTACGAATAATAACATTTGCGACATGCTAAAAAGTTTCTTTTATACTGGTACAGCTTACAGAGTCCATTGAAACAAATTTCCTTTTTCAACTGAGAATGAAAAGCAAAAATATATTCAAATATAGTTGGCGTTTTCTAAAATCTTTTCACAGAAGCTTATGAAAAAATGGCACTGTCGCGTACCTTTTCTTGTTTACTTTATTGTGTGTATACGGGTTCCTTTGACAATTGCCTTGTTCTTAAAGAACGTTGCAGTTTCAGTTTATTTCTAATTCTTTCTTCTTTGTAACGTCATTTATTAATTTCTATCGCTCTAAAAACGCATATTAATTTTCTTTTAAGTAAATACTAACTGATATCCAATAAAACTGGTAATTCAGTTCCCATTTCGAAGTTCATATACTATTTACTCATTTTCAGCTAAGCTAATGATCTCAAACTCAAACTGCATGCGGCCCGAACGCACAATCTTAAACAGCTGACACAGAAGAGTTTTTTAAAAAATAAAATAAAAAGTTTTTGCTTAAAAAAAAAATTGAAATTTTGCTTATATTTATCAAAATATGCATACACGCTAATAATAATATCTCATAGGAAAAAATATACCAGTTTATATTTATTTTCTATCTAAAATCTAAAATTTGGTACCTGCAGCACAGTTTTGTTGGTTGCACTTTAATTCAAATATTATGAGACACAAATATAAAATTTTCATTCTGATATTCATTTCAAATAATTCTGACATGTTTAATTAATCATTAAATAAAACTTAAACTAAAGATAAAAAAATTATGAAAACTTTTTAAGTACTCAGAAAGAATTTTCTAAGCTTGTGAATAAATAATGGTAACCTAGTCTATTTCTCTTATTTATTAAATTTTTTCTGACACATAAACAATAATGCATATATTTGCATGTAAATAATTATAAACTTATTTAGCTCTTACAACTTGGCATTTAATGGCAATTCAGTCTTGATAAAGTTTGTAGCCTTGGAGGGAAATTACATTAAAAATTTTTCCGTATGAATTCTAGATTCAAAATTTAAAAACGAGTAGGCTCAGAATGTTGAAATTTTGTACATGGAACTGCTATAACATATAGTTATGCATCACCCTTTTTGGTTGCAATCGATTCCACCAAAAGTACATAAATATATCTATATACCCACTCTGTTACCCGGCTCAGTGAGCTCATTTTTTTAATCTTGTATGTCGGTAGATGTGCATTTTGTGCTTTAAAGTGATTGAATTAAATTGTTCTTATGTTCCTGTTAAGGTTTTTATGCTTTAGTTAATCTGCATGCAACAATTGTAGAATTATCAACAATTTAAAAGTTGTTTAAGTGTTACTAAACTTAAGGAAGCCGCCATTTGTTTACATTTGAAACTCTCAGTAGAATAGTGAGTACTTTCTGCACCAATTTCAGTGTCTTTTGACGAGAGAGACCAAAAGTAAATTTTGAATTTTGTGCATCGAAAAACCTATCTTTCTGCCGCTGACCGAATGGCTTGTTTTTGAGAGAAACTCTAAGTTTAACTGTAAGAATTAATTGTTTTTAATTGTATTTGGTGTTTTACATTTTTCTGTATTTTACAATTTTTAATTAAGATGTTCTGAGTTTTCATGTACTTTTGCCTTGCCGCGAAGTGAGAACTGAATTGATTTACTGAGAAATAGACCTCCAATGAAATTCGAGGAAATAAATTTAAATGAAATGCAGCAAAAAATGTGTATAATTTAATAGGCCGTAAAAGGAAGTCATGTGGTGTCCACATTAGATTTTCAATACTGAAAAATGCGCTGTTTTTATATAATAATATTAAAAAAAAAATTTCTTAATGCCAAAATTCATAACGAGTTTATTTATTTTTTTACAAGTATGAATAAAAGTTAGTAAAATCTATGTCTTTAAGTGTTTGAATAAGATTTATGTCGCATTGCAAATTAAATAGCTTCCTGTACAGATTTTCTATTGCGTTATTCATGTTCATTTTGAATGAAATGAAAGTATTAGTAAACTAGGACTTCAGCTAACAAAAAACAAACAAAAAATAACTAGAAATCTTTGCAAAACCGTGTTTGTAAGAAACACATAACTGTAAAATAATCATGGTCCGTCAATCTGAGGTTACCAAGGTATACAATGCAAGTCACTACAACAAGCATTGAGAGATACGAGTTAGATATCTACTTTTATAAGTTAGAAGCATAATTTGACATGATCTAGATGGAAGAAAATAAAATCCAGTTATTTGATTTTAAGAAATTATAATTTTATACTTTTTATGAAAATATCTAATTCAAAATCTTACGAATTAACCTAATTAAAGATCTGTAATATTGAAAAACAGCTCAGAAATAAACTTCCAGGATAGAAAAAGTGAAAATGGCTTAGGCGTGAACTTATCGTAGGAGCTTATTGTGATCCTTACATCTTTTTACAATGAAAATCTAAATTTGTAAGCTTATTTCCTGTGATCTAAATTGATAAGATGATATAGTAAACTACTTAACTGCTCTATGGGATTACAATTACACTAGACAAAATAGTCCAAGCTCTATGAAAACCTTATAGCTCTGATTACTGAATTTAAAAATTTCCAAAAATCTCAGTTATTTTTATATGTTAAGAGCAACAAAAAAAATTTAATGAAAACATTCCAGAGCACTTTCTATGAAACGATGTTGAAACTTAAGGTCAATTCGGATGTTGAAAGAAACGTGTCTTCACTAATGACCGAATCTGTTTCCAGGCGAAAATACTTTGATCGTAACAAGATATCACACAAAAATTGCTTATTTATTTTCACTGAAGAACTGCTTTGGATTTGCAGTTTAAAGGAAAAAAAAAAAAAGAAAAAAAAACATATGTTAAATTTAAATTCTTCCCTAATTCGTTAAAAAATTAAATAGTAGGATGAATAGCTAAGTTTTGAATCATGTTGCCATTATCATAAATTTCTTAGATTTATATCCAGTTTCTTAAAGAATATTGCCTTATTCGACAGTAATATTTCAAAAGAACAACTGTTTCGGTCTGTAACAGCTGTGACATTCAGTATCTGTGTATCATATTTTAGTTTTTCATTTTAGTTAGTTTTGTATTATGAAATCTTCTTTTTATGTTATCTGCAGCTGTTCAGAAAAGACTCAACCCAGGAGTAGCTCAGGGATCCATTTTGAGCCCAATCTTGTATATTTTATACATGGCGGATTTTCTGCGTGTTTTCAATGATTTAAATGGCTTCTTAGGTTGCTATGC